CAGGGTGCACCACGTGGAGGTAAGTCTATTGCGCACCCTCTCCCCATAAATATTGGAGTTCAGCTAAACAAAGTCCTCACTTTTCTCTTTTTATTCTCGTCTTTCTGTATTACTCACTGCGCGAATTAATTATTTTTTCGGGAGTGTTGTCAAAGAGTCTCTGAATTATTGAAAAGCATTTATTTCCAATTTTTCTTTAATGCTCTCTCTCTTTCACTCCAATTTCAATTGGCCTTAATGCAGATAAATCAATGTTTCGTGCGATTCATTTTATTTTTACTTTTTTTTCGCTTAAATGGGTAGATTCGGTCTAAATCTAACTGGATAGGCATTAAGTCAACTGAGTTTTGCTGTGTTGCCAAGTTTTGCCTTCTCTCCTCCTCCTCCTCCACCCCCTACCCCCTCCCCCCCTCCATCTCCATCTCTCTCTCTCTCTCTCTCTCTCTCTCTCTTTGAACAATCAGTAAATTCAACGCCTCGACGTCTTTTTTTCTCCCTATTTTAGTCAAATTTTGTTTTGCCTTTGAGTGTGGGAAAAAATTGCCCTTCTGCCAAGTGGAATGAGCAGACTCCTCCGCGCTTTAATTCCTCTTTTTGTTTCCTCTTCATCTGATTTACTTCGAGTCTTTTCCCACTTCAAAGCGAGTCACTTGCTGATTGTGCCCCCGCTCTTTCATTTAGAGGGGAATATGCTTCTGTGCCGGCTTGGAAATCGTTTTATTTATTCTATTTGTATGTTTTGTAAGTTATTAATATTTCAACTTTGTTTACCATGTTCAACGTAAATAGTAATAGCCAATAAGTGGAAATTAGTTATGGCTTGTTATTTCGCTCGTATTAAAGCCTATTTTCCGCTAAACGGGATACTCTTTCGACACCGAGTTGTAATAATTCCAATGGTTATTTTTTATTTAGTCGCAAGTTACTGACCTTGATTGCCAGCAGAAGAAGGCGACTGAATTGCAGCCACCACGAGAAAAGAACGATTCCGAAAAACCGAAGATTCAGCCTCATCAGCGCAAAACTGGTGTCGATGGTCGATCAGTGGTACCTTGGGAACGTCTGGCTCCCACATCTCCCACAACCTCTACCGCCGTTGATTTGTCTGGTAGTCTTCCCCAGTGGGTACCCCCACAACACTCTGAATCTGCTGCACTTCACCATCATCGAACTCCCCGATCGATAGGTCATCGATCTTCCAAATCACAGAGTGGTTGTGAGGAGCTCGTGGTGTCTCATGATGATACTGAGTGTGCAAGGGCCAATCGACCGCTGAGTCTTGCGGTTAATAATCGTTCGCAATCTCAACACCGTGGTGGCAATGGTCGACGTCACACGACACATAGTTTTGGGGATGACTTCGTAGATGTCACCGCTTTGGAGACCCCCACAAATGGCAGCTCAAGCAGCAGACGCGCCGTCCGGATGAACTCTGACTCATCTGGAATGGCGAAGTCACGAACCTTGATCACTTCTTCGGGTGATGTCTGGGCTGCTGCTGTCGGCTGTGATGGTGGGTCGCTTTATAAAATACACTAGGTCAAAATCTCTTAAGTTGCCTAGAACATAGGTCTCATTATTGGCGGAGAGAGATAATTTCGCATTAACTGAACCAACGCATTTTGTCTGTATCACATTAATTGGCGTCTATGCAAAGCGGGAAAACGATGGAGAGCGGTTTCCAACAGAGGCATTTTGAAGCCTCTCCGATAAGGAACTCCTCCTCTCCCCTTTTTGGCTTTAATCTATTTCACTTCCATCAAAGATCGCATATCTTTTGACATTTTTTCAAGCTAGATTGGTTCCATGCTCCCCACAATTGACACTAAATTAGGATCCTTCCTCCTCAATTGAAATGGCACACGTCTGTCTCACTGAGTCATGCTATTTCATTTAACTTAAATCACAAATATAATGGTTGGGGGTTTCTAGGTCCTTTCCAAATAACTCGCGAACGAAATCACCTCTTCCCATCTCATGTGAGATGAAAGATGCCTATTAAGTGATCAGAAATCCGGAATCAGCCTGGTGTTAAGCAATAAAATGTTCACTTGTGCGTCTTCATTCAGGCTAATTATTTCGCAGATTCTGTCTTTCATTGTTAAAACGAAGTTGGTTGCTCCCTAACTTGATCGTTTTCCGACTTTTTCTCTGACACTCCTCACAATAATTCCGAGGCACTGCAGAAAATGTCACCTAAAAACTGTTTTTTTTTGTCTGGAAAGCGACATGAGTTCAGATTCCATGAAAATCGTCGTGAAGCCTGAAAAGTTGCATTGAAGAGAGAGCTGCACTGATTACGTGTCCTTTACCTGACACTTCCCATTATGCCTGGTCTTCCCACAGCAGGCGCACAAAAATCACGTAGCAAATTTCTTCCCATGGCATTGGCTTTGGCATTCCCACCCCCTCCCCCTCTCCCACCCCCTCTCCTCCCTCTCGCCCCCCTCCCCATCTCCCTTCCCCCCTCTCCCTCCCCCCTTAAAACAATCCATCTTATCGGCCATATTTCGCACATTATTTCATCAAGTGTTAATTCCCATCCATCCCTCCACATGCCCCACCTGACTAATTATTTAGAATGGTGTAGAAATTCTATGGGATCCCATACGGGGGGTGCTTCGAAATATATATATATATATATTATCCCTTCTGGAGGATAAGGGAGCGGGGGGAGGGGGAGGGGTGTAGTGTAATCCTTATCCCATATAAATGGGCCCCAGGTTGTGTATGTGGCTTGCCGTTTGGGTGGGAAAGAATGACTTTCAATGCATCCTGGCATTAATTCTATCAAGCTGACAGAAAAGATGAGTCAATGTTCAGATATAATGCTGTCATCTTTGAAGAATTCGAAATTCAGTCCAAGTATCTCCTGGGATTCTAGCACGTTGGTAGCATAATATCAAGAGTCGCTTCATTTATTTAAGAGAAGTTAACTCATCAATTGGTAGGCGTTGAACTGTGATTTCTATTTCAGCGAAGACCTAGAACATCTATTTCTGAGCCCTTATGCTATTTCATTAAATTAAATATCAAGATGAGTTTGAACATGGGCATCTTAATGATCGAATAAAATGTCACATTTGGACATTCGACGTAATTCCACTCACACCTATTGCGCACTGGTATAATCTATCAAAGGCATCTGATGAAACCAACTAGACGACTCACTAATGGTCACTTCCTCCTAGTCCCAAACCTGACACTATCGTCTGGGTCTCTCCCCCCAACCCAATCACACGGAAATTCAGGTGAAATTGACCCGAAAGTCGCACCCACCTTTGTTGATGTGCGCTTTGAAGTCACCGCGCCAGATTACAGCGACCCAAAAATTGCCACACACACACGGCGGAGGAGGAGGAGGAGAGTCAGAAGTGACCACTGGATTGTCATACAAAAAGTGCGGTGTGGGTGTGTGAGAGAGAGAACGCGCGAGCGAGTATTGCATAGTGGCGGTGAGATCAAAGCGAATCTGAGCGCTTTACTACCATAACCCACCTTCCCCTCCCTCTTTCACCCTTAGAACATCACGCCAGGGGCCATCTTGCATTGATAGTACTTCGCTGTAGCATTTTGATTAGCTTTGTATTTCTATTCCTGAAGTCCCTCAATCATGGAATGCGCTTTATGAACCGTTCTGGGTAGTGGAGGTGAGTTAATTGAAATCGAACTCTGGCCTCTAACAGCATAAATAGGTACGAATTGATGCCAACTTCCCTTCTTGGTTAAAGACCCCTTGATGACAGGTTTGCATTCTTCTTCTTTTCTTCTTGCTGACCAGAGCTAATCAGTGCGATTGGCTGTCTACGTCATTGATGACCACAATATCTCGTCCATCCTGTCTCTGGCAGCCTCATTGGGAGATGCATTATCCACCGCTTGTCTTAGATTAAGATATAGAAACTGAGTGTTTCAGCTACGAGAAGGCATTCACCCACTTTCCTATTATGTGTCGATGTTCACTATAAATATACTAATTAACGTCTATCCTGTGTTCTAATTTTTCAGAAGTTCTTCCAAACCGAGGCAATACCTACCCCATTAACTGTGACGCCCATTTAAATTCAAAAACTTGCTATAACAGGCGAAATTTTTTGAAATTGTGAAATGACGTTCCGTGGGAAAGGTGATTGTAAAACTGTCCATATTTCCGTTAGGTAAATTAGAGAAATAATGAGGAGTCCGACTCAGTACTCGGTGAAATTCTGAAACTCCGCATAATTGCAAAGGGGGGACATGCCTTGCGTGAGAATCTGTTGGTGGGAAAATACTCGCGCCTTTTTTTATAATTTTGGCAGTGGGAGTTGTGAAATTTCTAGGGGTCTCTAGTCTAATAAAATCTAGTCGCGCGCGCTCGCGACAACAGCAATAACCTCGCTTTGGGGGTGGGGTGGGGGGGGGTTGTTTATTTATCAGACGGAAAACTGCATTTCCTGCCTTGTATCGACGTTGAGACTTTTTGTGGCGCATATATAATAGCTATCTTCAACCCTCCCCCCTCCCCCACCAACCATATCTCACTAGTCAGACAAAATGCTGTGTCTCCGAAGATCACCGCTCGCTTTAATTGTGCTTTTGCCCTTCAAGAGCAATAAAATTGGCTAACGCCAGCATTTTGCTTGAAACAAAACCAGAATGTAGTTCTATTCTGCCGGTAGGAGAAGTCCTCGCGATATCTTTAGGCTTATATCAAGGCGGAGTTATGAGTACAGTTGCTCAGATCACGCATCAAGTGGCTAGAAATTCGGTATATTGATTTCCTCTGAAATCAGCTTGCCAGATCGGTAATGCTGAGGTAGATCTTCTGGTAATCTCGATTTTCTCGATCGTATTCTATTGGGTTTCGCAAAGTTTTAAACTACACTGGGTTTCATCTTATGATTTTCGCGATATCTTTTTAATTTTCTTAAAAATCTGTCCCTTGGCAGTCCAAAATACTCATTCCACCCCTTCAGGCAATTTCGTTGTTTTTGCTTAAAGGATTTAAATATGTTTGCTGTCTAATTCTGCAGAAATCGTGTTATTTTTCCCCCCAGTGTCGAGTATTTTAGACTGCAAACAATTTTAAAACACAAATTATGTATTTGTGTTTTTTAACGAACAGTTTTCGTTTGCCTTTTTTTTGGCTTCTTCTAAATATTGCTTGCACAGAAAAAGCGTGGTAGATCGAACTGTGGGCATGTGCACCTAATTCCCTCTTCTTGATTTCAACGTCGCGTTTCTCTTTGCCCTATTAGAATTAGCCATTAGGTATCGTATTTTGCACATTTAAAAGTTATTTTTTTATGTCTCTCTTTCATTATCTGGGAATTTACCGAACCCCTCTGGACTTGAAAGTTTCTTCCCTCTCCCCATCTCTCTTAACACATGATCTTTGTGTTTGGTTTGCTAACGGCACCACACAAATCAGCTGATTAAGGCGGGGTGTTTCGTTTGCCACAACATGAAACTGTAGGTAATATTCATCGTCATATCTAATCGGAATCTAATAGGTAAAAAAGGGTTTGTTTTAATCACGCTCCTCTTTGTGCGTCCCCTTAATGTTGTGCGCGCGCGCGCGCCTTCTTGCTGGGATCAAACAAAGTCCTAGCGAGTGATTCCTAGGCGAATGGCGGCTTATGCACCGCCTATATCTCACCATTCCCCTGGCTAGAAGTATTTTGGCCTTTTCACCCCACCCCACCCC